ATGCGTATACGTAACTAAATGTATATGTGCTTGTAGCAGAATGACTTTTCACTCTAGTTTTGTTCTTGTCGCCGCTGTCGCCAGCGTCTCACTGTCAACGTGAGCAACTATCTGCTCACCAACATGCACTACATAAGTAGGGAAATATAGGCTAGAGCTTTAAGGCATTTCGCCTTTATGAATTTGAGAGCCTTTTTGCTCTGTATCTCTGTTCTTTTTGGTAAATTTTAAAAAGAAAAAAATTCTTTAAGAATTATTACGAGTAATCAGCTGAGAAATTTAACTGCCTACATTTCACTTTATTTAAAAAAAATTATAAGCTGAAATCCGTGAATGATATATAACAAATCGATAACTTTAGCTAAAGGCTTGCGTTATTATTATAATATCTCGTTCATTTCCAAAGACATGCTTATTTATTTCTAAACACTTTTCTCCACACACACAGTGGCATTCACTTCAACAGCTCTTCGGCTTCCGGTTTGCCTTACATTTCCAAAATTTATGTTTGTTCCGCACTTAAACAATTTAATGTGCAATTTCCCTGTATACACATTTTAGGCGATTTGCCACATATATACAAGTACATATATGTGGTAGCACTGACCAAAACGCAGCTTTGTGGTTGAAACGTGGCCAGAGTGCAGACAACAACGACTTGTGAATTGTGGCGCCTAACTAAGTGCAGATGTTAAATTGCTAATTAAGAGCACCTTAAATGTGCTAAATGTCAGACTACACGACTGCATAGTGTGATATGCCACAACACCAAAAACAACAAAATCGCAAAGTGGCTTATACTTAGTTGGCGTTGGTGAAATGTTCTGCCAACTAGAAGCTGTGAGGGCAGTAAGAAAAGTACACAGTACTCTATCTTTGTTACTGAAAGCAGAGCTATATCCATATAATATGAGGTTAATGAAGCAAGCTAAGCTGAAATAAGTAGACCCAATAGCACATTTTTGCTCCCTAAAGCCTTAGAAAAAGCAAACGAAAGCTTTAAACTCAACCACCTTTTATGAAAAATTCAGCTAGTTAATAATAAGAAAACAGCCGCCCTCATACCTACACTTAAAACCGGTGGCACAATTCGTGTGCCACTCAGGTGTTGACCGTCAGACGCCTACGTTCGCATGGACGAAATAGCCGTGCTAGCAGACAATGGCTATAACACAAATTTACAGTTATTCGCTACGCATTCGTACGCAGACATCTTGATTCCAGAGCCATTTCTACAGGCGTTCTTATGCAAGCTGCTATAGATTACACAAATGCGTGTGTCGGTGCGTCTGCCCGCGAGTGTATGTGTGTGTGTGTCTTTATCTGCATATTTTCACAATTTATTGTTTGTACTCTCGCGAATTGCGTACCTGTTGGCATTGTAAATTTAAATTAGACCAGCACACTTTTTCATTTTATAGCATTTACTTGTTCTCCACTTCCCCGCCACTTGTTGCGTGTGCCGCCACCGCATCTGTTTGCCACAATGTTTGCCAACAAAGCGCCAGCAGCGATTCTTCTCACTTTTGTTTCACTTTCTACTTGTACTTGTTTATATTCTTTTATTCCTTTATGCCGCTGCGTTGGCTTTGTGAAATAGATGTTCTCGTTAGCCGCCAAATACCTTTGTGTGTTCACGCAAATAGACATCAAGATATGCGTGAAATATTGTGCAGAATAATTAAACGCCTGGGAAATGCGAAATGTGAAATGTCGCAACTTGGCTAAATACCGTTAGCGTTATTTGTTGCCATGTTCTGTGCAAAGGTCTAGAGTGGCAATTTGAATAAAAAAGAATATATGAGTGCAAACGTTTATGATTGTTATGGTAAAATATTGCAATTCAAGATGGAAATGTACAATAACAGCAACATTGCAAACTTTTGAAATAGTTTCTCTACACTGCCGTTTTCCAAGGTTTCATTTCCCTATTTCAGAAATTTGCTCATGCGACTTTCTTTGTTTAAGGACAATACATCAAGTTTGCATTTAGAAGTAATTTTGGCAAGTAAAAATGCTATATTCGTTAGCTTTCACAAAAAATACTTGCATACCTCAAGGCGCACCGCAGTTAATATCGTCTCCTGTTACTTGTAACTTGGTAATTTTGTCAACTGAAAACTGGTTCAGGTTACCAGTTTTAGCAAAAGTAATTTTTCTAACCACTTACATACTTTTAATTATCGCAAACGTTGTTTTTGGCACACTTTTCTACACACACATGCACAAACTAATTACGGTCAGCACCAGTAGATCAACAAACGTTAATGAAACCACATGTTGTTGCACATAATTTTAATTGAAAAAGCTTCATGTACAAAATACAATTTCAAGCAAAGTTCGGCAAGTGGCCGTCGGTCTTGTAGCGCGTGCAACTGCAATAAATTATCAGCAATTTTACTCGATTAAAATACTTGTAAGTTTGAGTGTGTTAAAGATGTGACAACGGAAATTTTAAAAATTAAGAAGCTTTCATGAAGCTGAAAACACACAAAATATTTATCAAAAATAATTTATGTAAGCGCCAACAACTATAAACTACAATTTTTGCAAATACATTAATGCTTAAACATTATTTTGTGACATAGTCACAATAAATTGTAACAAATTGTTGACAGTTTTTTAAATAAAGCGTACATTTTTGTTAACCTAGAAGAGAGCAGGCACTTGGAACAGCAGACTTTGTTTTCAAATTATGTTATTGCCAACAACGCTGAGGCGCTTAAACTTTACGCAAACAATTTATGAAGGCAGCGAATTTCATGCTTTCAAACGTACAAACATAAATTAATATTTTACGCTTTTCTTGCAACATCCCTCGCCGGCTACAAGACTTGCTGCTTATATTCCCACGTTAACTATGCTACATGCTTGTGGCATTATATAATACAAACTGCACGGTATCTCGACCACTTTGTGTGGCAGTGAGAGCACTTTAATCGCATAATTGACGTAGTGGGGTGTAGTCTGCCGCTCCCAAGGGTAAGGCTCCCTTCGCACGATTACTCTAATTTACTCACCCACCAGCAGTTGTGACCCATTAAAGTAGCCAAAATTATTGCTGGACATTTTTCATCTTTCACTCTGCCTCTGAAGGCGCCGCTGTCATTTATCTTTTGCTCGCCAAATGCTGTGTGAACAAGTAAACTTGTCAGCCTTCAGATTGTTAGATAGTTGTGTCAAGTAAAAATGCTGTGACATTGACTGATTGGCTGCGCGCTATTAGCGGTGAGTGGAATGTGCTCAGAAAACCTTAAAATCTAAATGAGATGTAGGTAAAGGCTTACAGCTCAAAATTATGCAAGAGCTATTTTGTATCTATAATTTATGCGGATAAATTTTCCCACATCATTTGCATTGACATTTAAATTTGTACCAAAATTGAACGAATATATAGTTTGGTCTAAACTCGCTTGCGAATGCTTAATAAAGTTGCTTGCTCCCTCACAACTATCATACGATTGAAATTATACACCAAAATCAACTTTAAAACAAGATCAAAAATGCTTACACTGGAAACAAGTACCAAGCCTTCAGCAAACAACCCACAAAGTGACCGCTGCTGTTTGCTTTCGAAGTTTTTATTACAAAACAAACATATTCTGTTTGTGAAGAGACTAAAAGGCAAAAAGCCCTATCAAGGCCATAAGGCGCCGAAAAATCAATTTCATCTCAGTTAGCCATTTTAGACTAAACGAACACTTTAACGATTCGCTCAACATTCTGAATGGTCTGCCATTATGAACGCTTGCCTAAACATTGAACGGTTTTTAATCTACACTAAAATATTTTATTTTTACATTTCGCCTTTTTTCGTATTTCTCTTTCCCAATTTCGTTCGACGCTGCTTGCGCTGTGTCGGTCCTTGGCGATTACCGTTGTTTGCAGCTCGTGATGAGTCTTAATTGAAATGTTTATGTTGCTGCAACATTTCTATTCCGGCAGCTAACTAATTTTTATTATTTACTCAAACTCTCAGTTTGCTTAGTCAATTCTTTTGCATTTTTATTTGATGGCCGCCCTTCTTCACCGCCCCCGCTCTGTCGCTCTGCTATGTGCCGAAATTGTTTTGCGCAAATATTGAACGAGTGAATGTAGGAAAATGCTTGGCAATGCTCTTTGACCACTCTTCTACAAATGCATTTCACTCTACGAATTCGCAAAAGGACAACGATTTGCTGTGGCTCAATAATTAATTGCTATTTATATTTGTGTTGGCAGTGGGTGCATTTCCAAAACATGGGCAGTTTGGTGCTTTATTCTGCTTAACTCGGAATTGAATTAATTACAATTTTGTTGTTGTTCGGCATATAAATTAATTAGTGTTGTGTTGTAGATTAGTAAAGCAGTTGTAAATTGATTAATTTAATTCCGAGAGTTACGATATTATATTGCATGTTTTGTGTGAAATCAAGTAAGCTTCTTAGAAAGCAAACCAACCAATGGTTGATGCTACGCTTAAAAAGAAAAATATGTTACCTATGTTGCATGAATTTTTTTCTACAAAATGCAAACTGTATATCATAACATCATAACATCTAAGGTATTTGAAACATTTTGGTATGTAATAGAGAGGAATATTATTATGCAGAAACGGAGAGGAAGAACTTCATCTGCCATAGTTGTACAAATTAAATCTTAACAGAGTTATACTGCAATACGTCTCCGAAAGTATTAAGTTTTCATGTATTTGGTATTTCAGACCGACTACAGAATTCCATGTCTATAACGCTCTCCGCCTTGCAGTTCACTGACAAAACCATAGAGAATCACAGAACCAAAACAGCATTATTTTTTTTGCCCTAATGAAGCTACAGCAAACATTTTTCAAAGATTTCGTAGCTCTTTTTCAAAATAAAACCTGTTTGTAACAATGCGCCAAAATGTAGGCAACATTTAGTAAGCTTGTGACAGCTGTTGGGCTTTCACCAATATTAAAATACTTTAATCTTTTGTTTTCTATATTTAATTACCATTTACAGTAAAAATGATATACTCACCCAATATTTTGTCATATCCTTAGTTGAACCTATAATAATATTTTGCGCACTAAAATATTAAATAATTTCAATAAATTTTGCAATCACTTTATTATACTTCTTTACAATTATATTCTTTACTTTTATTATTTGTAGTATTATTAGAGCAATTGTTTATGCTCAACACTTAACAACAACACGATAGTGACTTAGGGGCTTATTCTTAAAAATATTTGTAGGTGGTGATTAGCAATTTTTATTAACAATTAACTTGTGTTAGATTTACTCTGATATTTTATCTGCGGTAACAAAGTTGGAACGAACAGCTAATTTACTGAGGTTATCAGCTGTCAATATTATATAATTGCAGAAACGTTTATAAATTGGTTAAATTTGAATATTTTAGCATGTTTTTTACGAAACAAATTTAATTCTTTACTTAGTTTCTACTATTTATTGAAAATTTATTTAATTTTTTATTATTAATTTGATTGGGTTTTTACTTAATTTTTTGTTTTTTTAAATATTTATAATATATATACTATACTAAATTTATATAACTTTTTTTATTTTTGATTCTAAGCCAGTTTTTTGAAGTCTCTGTGCTTTTACACGTTCTACTTTATATTAAAAATTTCACAATAACACTGCAATCAAAATGCTTTAAAGGTTTACGTGCTGCTAGTAATGATAAATTAATAGCCGGTAACCATGTGGAAAGCAGTTGCAGTTATGTTTTAAGCTGCCAACGCATTCTTTTTATGGCTCTATATTTGTATAACCGCGAATACAGCAATTTAAGTAAGGTGTAATGTGTTTTTGCACTAAACGGAAATCTCTAAATTGCAATACGACGGCACTCGACCAGCCGACGCTCCGCCAACGCGATGGCAAGTCATGCACAAACAATGCTTTAAATTTTACAACTTTTCACAAAAGATCGAACACGCCATAAATCCACAAATTTATCGATAAAAAGCGGAGACGCAAACACCCGCGCGTCGTACCGGTCGCGGTTAGCGGAAATGTCGCCTTCAATTTAGTGCACACAAAGACGCCGCGTCGTATGAGTAACCAACGCGAGTATCACATAAATTCAGACACTCAAAAGCCACACACGCGTCGCTTATCATTAAATTACGCGCAACTGCACACAACAACAGGTGCAACAAAGGTGGATTTTAGAATCACAAACACACATACAAACACGCTATTCGTACAAATGTTTGTATAACGATGTGCGTTAGAAGCAGCACCCTCAAGTCATTGTTAGACACTGAGTTAGTTAATAAGTCTTCTGATGCTCTGTGTTAAAGTTCGGGTTTTCCCGCTTCACGCGTCCGATTGCGTCGGAAGACCGATAAGCACTGAATGTGTTGAGTTGTAAGTGACGACGGGATGCTGTAAGCGCGCAACGCAGCCTGCTGGTGCGGAGTCCGCGTCTGTGGCAAGGCTGAAAACAAACTATTTACAACGCGTTAGATGCTGTGTCCTATCTTAAATCGCGGCTAACAGCAGTAACGCACAACAGAGTAGAGAGCACGGAAAACAGTACTTCTCTTAGTGCACGCAAGTGAGCGTTATTGAGAGAGAATGTGGGATTATGTTAAAAAAGCGAAATGATTTGCCGCCAGTAAAGGGAAATTTTAACAGAAAGAAGCACGTGCGCTGTTTATTTTGCATAATATCTTAAGTTTATGAGTGATACTAAGTAAAAGCAAAACAAAAGTGTATGGAATATGTGAAAATTAAAAAAAAAAAAACACGTTTATTTAAAATGAAGCGTTAAAAAATACTGATTTGTAAAATTAAAAAAAAAAATTAACAACGAAAATTTTTTTTTTTTGCTTTTTCTTTCCTACAAGTATTTCACCAATATTTCAAAATTCTCAGTACAAAGTAATACACCAAATCTAGTACGCATCGACAACATTGCTTATTGTTAAAACTCCTTTTCTCCCAATCTACGAATTACATATGTACTATGACAGCATCAATGAACCCGTAAAATATTAGACAAGCACATTGCATATCAATGAGCAATGCGCGCCTTCACTAAATCCTGCAGAGAATTCTGCACTGAAATATTTTCAGCATTACTCAACGTAAGGACGAACATCTGGATTTCTTCATTTTCTGCGGTGGAATTATTAAGGACGTTATGGGCAGGACAGAGTAGAGAAGAAGGCAAAGATCTCCAGTGAAATGTGGCGGCAGCACGAGTTGCACGCTTGCTGAAGTGCATTCGCTGCTATGTGCTTCACGTGTAATCATTACATTCGCATTACATTGCTTATGCAGAGATGTGTATGCTCGTTTCCTTAACTCGTGCGGCTTAGTCGTGTCACTGGAGTTTATGTGATTGCTTAAGTGGAATTTATGTGCTTTAAAGGTTAATAGCCGAAGCTTGAAATGTCTCGAAATGTGGGCATTAAAGTGTGAGCCGTGATTTACAGAAGCGCTGCAAGCAAATCTTTTACGCGATTAAGCAGATTTCGACAAGAAGATTTGCATATAAGGTTTTCTGTAATTTTATATTAAAGTTTTTTAAAAGTATTTTTTTTTTTTTTTCCAAAAATTATAATATTTATTGATAGTTATAATTGCCAGAAATTATATTGCAATTGGCGAACGCTTAACCGGTGAGTCAACCTAAAATTTTTTAACCTGACAACTTGCCACCAACAATCTGCCAGCACTAACTAAAGAACTGCAATGAGCAATATAAAAAGGGAGCGCAAAAAAAAAACAAATAGCATAAATTGCATAATATACGCTGTCTTCACCCATCACACCCAACCACATTCTCGCAATATTATATATAATATAAGCTCACATTAAGCGCTTAAAAAACCGAAATTCATTTACAACTTTCGGCGAATCACAAATGCATAATTTATTACATGGAAACAAGGAGCTAGAGAATTATGCCTCGAGCACACTGGTTGGCTGGCAAAGAAAGCGTTCGGCTGCGGAAATGAACGTAAAGCGTTGCTACAGTTAAGTTGGCGTACGAAAAGTCGCAGCAGCAGACACCGCATGAGGTCAAGCCTATAATTGTAATGCACTCAAGTGCAAGCATATAAATTTATAATTACTATATGTGCGCTCTTGTTTATGCATTCTGAATGCCAACGCAAGGGCTTGTGTTGCGGGTTGGTAGTTGTGTGGATGCGAGAAATTCCCGGCAAGTCGGCACCAATTAAAAAGTCATATATTTTCTTTGTACGCAGCATCGGTTTTAACTTAACGGTAAGTATGTGGTTGCAGCACAATGTGTTGCAAAAGAAAAATAATTAATTGCAATATTACGAGCGGCAGCAGTGAGAGAATATATAACTGCTCTGTATAAGAACACTTAACTGAACGCCGTTATATGGATTTTCACGAATTATTAAAAATGCGTGTAAGGAGCAGTAATTTTAATGCAAGAAAAAAATGTAAAGTGGTAACTTTCTGCTTAATCAAGCGTAGCTGTTAAATATATAGAAGGATTCACATTAATAAAACTATCAGGAATTAGCGCTCGTAAGTTTTCAGTACAAATCAGCTATACGCATAGATATGTGAATATATGCCTTAATACAAATGTAAATATTATAAGCCTACAACACATTTTATATTCATTTGCTTCATTTTCTTATCTGAATTTTCTCGCACTCTGGCAGCCTTGTTCACACCCCTTTATGCTCTACTTATGCATATGCGCAACACTTACATAAAAGCGTATTAAAAATTTACGGCAATCACTTAAGTGCGCATTGCTCAACGGCAGCGCAAATCCAAAACAAGCAGCGTTCTACGCGCTCTACAACTCCTATACTACAATACTTTGTTAGGGCGCAAAATAAGTGCCAGCAACTCGCCTGCACGCCCGTTCACTGGCGATAACGTCAAATAACAACAGTAATATCTGCGCTAACAAGGCATTAGGCAGCGAGTATTTCTTGCTGCTGGCCACGCACAATTTTCCACTTCACTTAATGGCCGCATCCGCCTGCCTTGCGCCTCTACTACCGCCACCGTTAACTGTCTGGTACAGGTTGTTTCCTTGCTTGCTTTTGTCTCTCGCTTGCCATGTTTGTTTGTTTCAATTTGACGGTGCTGCGAATAACAACAGCTGCCAGCGCACGCTTACACAAACATAAGCATAAGTGCGTAAATATGAGCACAAGCATTGTAATCCCATTAAATACTTTGACGATTGATGCTTCCTTTCCAGTTGCTGCGCAGTTCAGCGAGATAATGCATCATTCGGCGCGCTCAGTGTACCCGCAGTTCGCCAGGCACTGTGGCGTCGCCGGGTTTGTCTCGTTAAAGTTTAATCAAATCACATTTTTGGTTTGTTATCCTTTTTGACGAAATCCTGCCGATAATCCCATTAATCAGTCAACATTTACATTCCATGGAATCACATTTGTATTTTCGGTGTTCAGCATTCAACGAGCGCGCACGCTTTGACCTTTCCAGCACGAAATATACCATAGGCGCAGCACGTTTTAAGCACTGAATAGCGCGGCAGTGCTGCATTCAACCATATAACAGTGTGGTTCATAGACTCATAGTCGCGCGTCTATTCAGTGCTGCTTTCGCACTGCGGCGCTCTCTTGCTGCGCTTGTTGCGGCTGGGGGAGGCAACGTTTTCTGCAGGAATCTGTCGTGTTGCGTTACAAAGCGCATTTGTTAAGGGATTACAAGGGCGCACAACAATAATAAAAAGCAGACAGTCGTAAGCACGACACAACGTTGGCAACAATAGCAATAACAACAATATAAATGAAACGCTGTTTCGCCTTTGTTGCGCGGCGCCTACGTGACCAACAACTTTCCCTTTCACCTTTCGCTTGTGCCGCGCCACTCACAATACTTGGTGGCAATATACAGCTGCTCTGCGTCAACTGCACGCACGCAAACAAATACAAAGCTTTTATTGTTATGTGATTATTGCTGCTAGCATATACGCGTATATTTGTGTTTAGATGTTTTATGGTATTTTATTTCGGCGTTTGCCCTCACTAAGCGCGTGTCAAGTTCAGTTTGCCATGCCATGAGTTGATATTCACCTAAGGATATGGTTTTACCACCGATTGACGTGTGCGGATGTGGAGTGCGCGCAAAATTGCCAGAGTTGCCTGGGGTGTGCGGCGACTGAAAAAAGCTCACAATTGCTAAGTCTTTTCTCATTGTTTTCCTAGTTCGGCTGCTTAAATGCTTTTGTTGCTTTGTATCAATTGTTTTCAATAGATAGTGGACTTTTTAATCCAACATAAAACCATGGACTGATCGGTCACTTCTCAGCCCGGCAACATATTGCAGGCAATCAATATGCTGGATGCTGAAGTGGATTGCG